ATATATATATAAATTGCCCAGTTGTTCCTTACATTTGTTATTTCACGCTGCACTTAAAATGAATTATTCTTGTCGTGGAAAAGAGTCAAACTCAGTAAAATATTTTGAGAGGTTTATTCTGAGCTAAATATGAATGACAATCAGGAGGTCCTGAGAACATGTGCCCAAGGTAATGGGGAACAGCTTGTTCTTAGACATTTTAGGGAAGCATTAGACATCAATCAAACACATTTAAGAAATACATTGCTTTGGCTCAGAGAAATGGGACAACTCAAAGCGGGTCTTCCAGGCTATAGGTAAATTGAAACATTTTCTGATTGACAGCTGGTTGAGTTTGTCTAAATACCTGGGATCAATAGCAGAAATGTTCAGGTTAAGATAGAAGATTGTGGAGACAAAGGTTGTTTTGAAGTCTTCTACTGGCTGCCTTAGAGACAATAGATGACAAATGTTTTCTATTCAGACCTTTAAAAGGTGCTAGCTTCTTTCTTAATCTCTTCAGGATTGGGAGGGCCTAGAAGAAAAAGATCTAGCTATGTTAGAGATTCTTTACAGATGCACATGTACCCCTCACAAAGGACAGCTTTGCAGGACCATTTCAAAATATGGCAAAGAAACATGTTTTGGGGTAAAATATTTTGACTTTCTTCTTTGTCACATGTTATTCCAGAGTCAGACTGGAAATAAGACAGGATATATAGGACTAAATAAAACCATCTGATGAGTATTTATGGTTTGTAGGGCATGACTCCCCAGATTCCTCAGATAGGAATTTAGGCAAGATAAAAAAATCAGACCTTAGTCCTCATTCTCAAACTTTTTTTTTTTTTACATTTCTTCCTGCAATATATTTAAGCGATAAACGTTGACAACATATCAATTCCTAAATGTAATATTCACTTTACGTGCCTTCTGAAAATAAGTACAAAATGTACTTTTTATCTTCAAGCTGTTTTTTTTTTCCCCCCCCCTAGAAACAGGACCTAGTTCTGTCACCCAGGATGGAATGCAGTGGTGGGAACGCTGCTCACTGCAACCTCAACCTCTGGGGCTCAAGCAATCCTCCCACTACACCTCCCAACTAGCTGGGGCCACAGGCCCTCACCACCATGCCTGGATAATTTTTTAACATTTTGTAGAGTCAGGGTTCCACTACGATGCTCAGGCTAGCCTTGAACTCCTGGACTCAAGCAATCCTCCCACCTTTGCTTCCCAAAGTGCTGGGATTACAGGTGAACCACCACACCCATCCAATTGTAATCTATTTTAGGTGTTTTCTTTATTGTTCTTGCCTGAGTGTTCTATCAGGTGTGAATAATAAAGGCTGTAAAATAGGCAGTCTTCAAACATTGGGATTTATTTTCACATAGAGAATAATTATGAGATATTACTAAGGATACATCCCAGTCAGGTTATTCTGTTTTACGTGGGCCCTGAAGAAAATATAACTAAATTACAAAATTGGCTGGGCGCCGCGCCTCCTGCCTGTAATCCCAGCACTTTGGCAAGCCTAGGCGAATGGATCACCCTGAGGTCAGGAGTTCGAGGTCAGCCTGGCCAACACGGCGAAACCCCATCTGTACTAAAAATACAAAAATTAGCTGGGCATGGTGGCACGTGCCTGTAACCCCAGATACTCAAGAGGTTGAAGCAGGAGAATCGCTTGAGCCCAGGCAGCGGAGGTTGCGGTGAGCTGAGATCTCACATTTGCACTCCAGCCTGGCCAACAGAGTGAGACTGCATCTCAAAAAAAGAAAAAAAAAAATTATAAACTTCTAAATCACCTCATTTCTGCATGCAATAATTTTATGGCAATATCTGTAAGTTAACATGTACTATGAACTCTATTTTTCACTCATATCCCTAGTTATCAAAGGTTTCATTTATCAAACACTAGTAATTAGCTAAAACATAATTACATTTAGGAAGAAATTAGCATATCCAAAATATTAGCAAGTTTGAAAAAGCATAATGTGGCCAGGGGTGGCAGCTCGTGCATGTAGTTCCAGCATGATGGGAGGCTAAAGCAGAAAGATAGTTAGTGGCCAAGAGTTGGAGGCCAGCCCAGGCAACATGGTGAAACCTCATCTTTATATTTTAAATATTTATTTATTCATTCATCTTGGAGATGGAGTTTTGTTCTTATTGCTTAGGCTGGAGTGCAATGGTGTGGTTTTGGCTGACCACAACCTCTGCCTCCTGGGTTCATGTGACTCTCCTGCCTCAGCCTCCCGAGTAGCAGGTATTACAAGCATATGCCACCATGTCTGACTAATTCTCTACTTTTACTAGAGAAGGGGTATCTCCATGTTAGTCAGGCTGGTCTCGAACTCCTGACCTCAGTGATCCGCCCACTGAGGCCTCCCAAAGTGCTGGGATTAGAGGCCTGAGCCATTGTACCCAGCCTCTATGTAGCTTTTTAAAAAATCCTTGTAGCTATCTTGTTTAGGAATAAAATTGGAGGAAGGTTTGCCTGACACTGTTCCCAGCTTGACTTTTCTTTGACTTAGTAATTTTGAGTTTCTTTCACAAGCTTCTGACAGACATAATGCTTTGACACACTGATATTGCTTTATATAGATTTTCCAGAACAGTAAAGTCCAAGGGTCTGTCATGAACTGGGTTAGTGGAGGCAAGAAGATTCCCAGAAGACTCCTGGTCTCAAGCAAACCTCACACCTCAGCCTCCCAATGTGTGACGAACACAAGTGTGATCCACTGAACCCAGTGGAGTCTCCATCTCAAAAAAAAAAAAAAGCAATACAGGAGTTAAGGTACTCTATGGAATTACATCATTTGACTTTTTTTTGGAAATGAAAAGTCTGACGTATTTATTACTGAACCCAGCCAACCAACGTGTTCATACCAGATTCAGAGAGAAAAAAATGTATTCCCAATAAAACATGTCCCACTCTTCAGATAGTGGTGATATTTTCTGCTTGATATGGTAACGTGATTGTAATGCTCAGACAGCATAAATATGTGTGTCATCTCATGTGCAATTCCTCATAGACCCAGCTTGGCTCTTCTCCAGTGTCTTCTTTTAAAGTTGTACCTGATTTTATTACCAGTTTTCATCTGAATCCACTGGGGAATGGAACGATTTTGCTTTTTTTCTTGGCCAGGAATCACTTAATCCTGAAAGTCTTATGAGAAGATATGGCTAGAAGTGGAGTCAAGTACACACCACGATGGCAGACAAAGGAAGAGAAGGGGCTTGATATTTATTATTATTATTATTATTTTGAGAGAAAGTTTCACTCTTGTTGCCCAGGCTGGAGTGCAATGGCATCATCTCGGTTCACTGCAACTTCCGCCTCCTGGGTTTAAGCGATTCTCCCACCTCAGCCTCCCGAGGAGCTGGGATTACAGGTGCCCGCCACCATACCTAGCTAATTTTTATATTTTTAGTAGAGATGGCACTTCACCATGTTAACCAGCCTGTTCTCAACCTCTTGACTATTGTTTCTGCTGTTAGCTATCAGTCCTCTTCATTGCAGCACAAACAAGATTATTGTTTTTCCGTGAAACTGATGTGGATGGTCTGCCTGCTGCTCCATACATAACCTTCAACATTGTCTTCTCACAACTCAAAATGAGTTATCCATTTACAAACTGTTGATTTCTTTTGGGCATCGTCCCCATAACCTTTTCATAAAGCATCAGTGATATCATTATTCGTCTACCCAAACTTTACCATAAGTATTCTTTTTTTGAGACATGATGGAGAGCAGTGGCAAGATCACAGTTCACTGCAGCCTCGACCTCCCAGGCTCATGCCATCCCTTGGCTGCAGACTCCACAGTAGCTGGCCCTGCAGGTATGTGCCACCATGCCCAGTGAATTTTTGTATTTTTTTGTATAGAAGGGGTTTTCACCATGTTACCCAGGCTGGTCCTGAATACCCAGGCTCATGTGACACACCTGTCTCGGCCTCTGAAAGTGCTGGGATTAGAGACCTGAGACACTGCATCTGGTCTCATCGTAAATTTGATGTTTCTTCTTATTTCAATTTTAGCAGAATTTATATTGCTTTGATAGTCTCTTTTCAAACTCATGCCTTATCCTTCTTAGTGCCTCAAACTACAGCCTGTTCAGACATGTTATAACAGATTTGTACCAGTTTATTTTGGTGCAAAAACTGTGAAATCCATGCACAATTTTCCCATAATACATATTTTTCCATGAGCTTCTTGAAGACCTCTTGTACTAGAAAACTGTATTCAAGAGGCTATATAAAAGGATTGTAGATATGCAAGTGCCATTTACTTCTGACATCCAAGGATGGTTCAACATATTCAAGCAAATCAATGTGATATACCACTTGAACAGAATGACAGATGAAAACCACATCATCTCAACAGATGGAGAAAAATCATTTCACAAAATTCAACGTCTGATCATCATAGAAATCTTAAAACGGCCGGGCGCGGTGGCTCACGCCTGTAATCCCAGCACTTTGGGAGGCTGAGGCGGGCAGATCATGAGGTCAGGAGATCGAGACCATCCTGGCTAACATGGTGAAACCCTGTCTCTACTAAAACTACAAAAAATTAGCCGGGCGTGGTGGTGCGCACCTGTAGTCCCAGCTATTGGGAGGCTGAGGCAGGAGAATGGCGTGAACCCAGGAGGCGGAGCTTGCAGTGACCGAGATCGTGCCACTGCACTCCAGCCCAGGCGACAAAGCAAGACTCCGTCTCAAAAAAATAAATAAATAAAAAGAAATCTTAAACAAAATAGAGAAGGAAATTTACCTGACCATTGATGAAGTGACCAACGTGGAAATAACCAAGCAGGGAAAATGGAATGCTTTTCCTGTAGGATCTCAAATGATGCAAGAATGCTCTCACTTTTTCTATTCAATAAATACAGGCTGTCCTAGCCAGAGCAATGAAATAGCAAAAGAAATGAAATGCCTCGAAATCAGAAAAAAGTAAAATTATATTTGTTTGTAGATGACATGATCTTCTGTGTAGAAAATCACAGAGTCAAAGTACTACTGAGACTAATAAACACACCAGTAGATTTGCACAATACAATATCAACACCAAAAATTAGTTGAATTTTCATACATTAACAATAAACAATTTTAAATGAAAATTTAAAAACACTTCCATTTGCTACAGAACTTAAAGTAAGAAATACCTAGGAATAAACAGAAAGAAGTGAGAAATTCATACACTGACATCTACAAACATTGATGGAAATGATTCAAAACATATATAAAGGTACAACCCATACTGATGTTTTGGAAAAATTAATATTGTTAAATGTTTATATAACCCAATGTGATTTAGATTCAACACGATACCCATAAAAATCCCTATCAGTATTTGTTGAAGAAACAAAAAAACAGGCTGGGAAAATGGCTCACATCTGTTGGCAAGGCTGCTCTCAAACTCCTGACCTCAAGTGATCTACTCAACTTGGCCTCCCAAAGTGCTGGGATTACAGGTGTGAGCCACCGCACCTGGCCTAATCCTCTGAACATAAACACTTTAATCTCAGTTAATGCTTGAACTCAGTGTTAAGTCAACTCAAACTCAAGTCAATGCTGATTTGAATCTAATGTGAATTAATCGTTGATGGTTTGCTATACTCACTGCATTTGGAACTATTACCTCAAAAATGAATTTCCTGATGTCCTGCAAGGAGTCACCTAGGACTAAAGACCTTGCCACACATGACACTTGTAAGATCTCTGTCCAGTACGGATTCTCTGATGTGTAATGGGGCATGAACGTGAAATAAAGGCTTTGACACAATCATCACACTTGTGAGGTTTCTTTCCTGTATGAATTCTCCTATGTTTTGTGTAAGATGAAACTTGACTGAAGATCTTGCCACAGTCATCACATTTGTAAGGTTTCTCTCCAGTATGAGTTCGCTGATAAACTGCAAGGTAAGAATGATGCCTGAAAAATCTGCCACATTTATAACACTTGTAAGATCTCACTTCGTTATGGTTCTCCAATGATTTGCAATGGTTGTAGCGTTACTGAAGACTTTGTGACAATCATTACATTAGTAAAGTTTCCCTACAACATGGATTGCTTGATGGTGAATGAGTGTTGACTGGCCACAGAAGGCTTTGCCACACTCATTACACTTGTACGGTTTCTCTCCAATGTGAATTCCAGTATGTTGTGCCAAATGTGAATCATACCTGAATGCCTTGTCACAAACCTTACATTTGTATGGTTTCTCTCCAGTATGAACTGTCCTATGTATTTCAAGGAGTGACTTGAAATTGAAAACTTTGTCACATTCTTCACATTTGTAAGGTTTTTCTCCAGTATGAAGTCTATAATGACGTGCAAGGTTTGATTTTCGATTAAAAACCTTGCCACAATCATTACACTTGTAAGGTTTCTCTCCAGTATGAAGTCTATGATGATATGCAAGACTTGATTTGTGATTAAAACTTTTGCCACATTCATTACACTTGTGACGTTTCTCTCCAGTATGAATGACCTTATGCATTACAAGAGATGAATTTTGAACGAAGGTCTTGCCACAGTCATTACACTTGTAAGGTTTCTCTCTAGTGTGAATTATAATATGTTGTGCCAGGTGTGAATCACGTCCAAAAGCCTTGTCACAAATCTTACATTTGTATGGTTTCTCTCCAGTATGAATTCTCCTATGTCTTTCAAGGTGTGATTTGCGACTGAAAACTTTGTCACATTCTTCACATTTGTAAGGTTTCTCTCCAGTATGAAGTCTACGATGACGTGCAAGATTTGATTGTTGATTAAAAACCTTGCCACATTCATTACACTTGTAAGGTTTCTCTCCAGTATGAATTGCCTTGTGAATTACAAGGCACGACATGTGACTGAAGGTCTTGCCACACTCATTACACTTGTAAGGTTTCTCACCAGTGTGACATCTGCTATGGCATGCAAGGTATCGCTTCTGATTAAAGACCTTGCCACATACATCACATTTATATTGTTTCTCTCCTAAATGGATTATCTGACGTTTTTTTAACAGTGAGCTACAATTAAAGGCTTTGTCACTCTCATTACATTGGAAAGATTGTTCTCTCATGTGTACTTCCTGTTTTTGTGTGAGTAATGAAGAATGGAGGAAATTATTCCCAAACTGATTAGAAATATGGGTTTTAGGAATACAAGAAATTCTTTGGGATGTTGAAACCGAGGAAGCATCACTGATAAACTTCTCAACCTCATTATCAATTTTCCCTTTGCTCTGAAATACCTGCAGTTCAGGCAGATGCAAATGAAAGCTTTGTCCAACCTGATCTTTAATAGGCTTGTTTCTAGCATGCCTTTGATCATGTCGGTCTGTACTACCAGTCAACTTTTTGATTTCTGTCATGAGTGCTTCATGGCCATTTCTTTCATCTTCTTGCCACTGAAACTCAAAGTCCTGAAAATCTTTCTCAATTTCCTGGAGGGAAAAATCTCCAATGTGATGACTTGCTTGTCTTTGCAATGTCCCAGTGTGGATCACTTCCATACTGCCTTGCCCTGTTGATGAGAACTTCCTTGTCATGCATTTGGAAGAGATAGCTACAAAATATAAACACCAATAGGTTTCCAGTTAAGTGCAGATGGTAAATAATAGTGAAATGTGTAAACAGGACACAAATAACAATACTTATTTTGAAATTCCCAAACATGACCTTCAAAGTTTAGGAACACAAAAGAACTAAGATTCTTTAATAAATAAAGGGCAATTACATGTACTTCAAATCATTTCTACAGAAGCCTATTCCCAATATTATGACAAAACACTGACAGGACACAAACATGTGTAAGCCTGAAGTAAGGAGTGTTTTTCCACTGTGACCCTAAAGTATATCACAATTTGCAAAAAAAAAATTACTGTCACATCAAAGAAGGAAAAAATATATATTCTTTATATTTACAGCATATTCAGAGTATACAAATAAGTGCTAAAGGACCGGACAACATACTATATTGGTAAATAATCCACAACAAGCCCTTGTAACGATAATCAAAATCAATGGAAATTCTGTATTGTCAAACAATCATAGCACTGAGAAGGTAAGAAAAGATTACAAAAATTAGCCAGGCATGGCGTCCCGCACCTGTAGTCCCAGCTACGTGAGAGGCTGAGACACAAGAATTGCCAAGAGGCAAAGGCTGCAGTGAGTCAATATCGCACCACTGCACTCTAGCCTGGATGACAAAGTGAGACTCCGTCTCAAAAAAAAAAAAGGCAGGGCATGGTGGCTCACACTTGTAATTCCACTATTTTGGGAGGCCGAGGCAGGCGGATCACCTCAATACAAAAAGTAGCCGGGCATGGTGGTGTGCACCTGTAATCCCAGATACCTCGGAGGCTGAGGCAGAAGAATTGCTTGAATCCGAGAGAGGAAGACTGTGGGGAGCTGAGATTGTGCCACTGCACTTCAATCTGGGCGAAAGAGTGAGACTCCATCTCAAAAAAAAGAAAATGTTAATACCATATTTTCCTGAATAACTGTGAAATATTTCCTATATCCATGTGGAACAGGCACTTTGTGACTTTTTAAAAAATATTTTATTACTTTTATGTTTTTGAGACAGAGTCTTGCTCTGTCACCCAGGCTAGAGTGCAATGGCACGATCTTGGCTTACTGCAACCTTCACCTCCTGGGTTCCAGTGAGTGTCCTGCCTCAGCCTCCTGAGTACCTTGGATTACAGGCAAGTGCCAGCATGCCTGGCTAATTTTCGTATTTTTAGTAGAGATGGGGTTTCACCATGTTGGCCATTTGGGATTACAGGCGTAAGCCACTGCGCCCGGTGGCACTTTGTGACATTAATGAGTGCAGTGTGTCAGCTATATTGCATGCCACATACTGAATACTCACATGTAGAGTCATAAAATTCAATTAATAAAATATTGTAACTAATGATAAAACAAGAAAATAATACACACATTCATACAGTCCGCAGAATTGTAAACAATTTCCACTTAAGAAAAAGCCACAGCCGGGCGCGGTGGCTCACGCCTGTAATCCCAGCACTTTGGGAGGCCGAGACGGGCGGATCACGAGGTCAGGAGATCCAGACCATCCTGGCTAACACGGTGAAACCCCATCTCTACTAAAAAATACAAAAAACTAGCCGGGCGAGGTGGTGGGCGCCTGTAGTCCCGGCTACTCGGGAGGCTGAGGCAGGAGAATGGCCTAAACCCAGGAGGTGAAGCTTGCAGTGAGCTGAGATCCGGCCACTGCACTCCAGCCTGGGCGACAGAGCAAGACTCCGTCTCAAAAAAAAAAAAAAAAGAAAAAGCCACAATTTCTACTTACCACCAGCACACAATATAAGAACTGAATTACATGCTAAGATCACTACCTTCTGATTTTAACAGATTGACCTCTGATGAGGTCAAGGAAATACACAGCATTACAACGAGTAAGAATTGACTAACAGCCAGGTGCGGTGGCACCTGGCTGTAATCCCAGCACTTTGGGAGGCTGAGGCAGGCGGATCACATCAGGTGTTCGAGATCAGCCTGGCCAACATGCTGAAACCGCATCTTTACTAAAAATACAAAAAAATTAGCTGGGCATGGCAGAGGGTGCCTGTAATCTCGGCTACTTGGGAGGCTGAGGCAGGAATCCTTTGAACCCAGGAGGTGGAGGTGTCAGTGAGCTGAGATCAGGCCACTGCACTCTAGCCTGGGCGACAGGATAAGACTCAAACTACACAACTACTTCTCAAATTCGCTTTGGTAGATTTGGTATTCTCTAATAGGATGTTCCTGCAGATGCAGACTTTGAGAGAATTGAGTCATGGGTGGGTGTTGACTACTCATGAATAGGACCAGTGCATTCATAAAGAGACATTAAAGGGCTCACTGCCTCTTCTTTCCACAGTGTCAGGACATGGCAGGAAGATGGCTGGGCTAAACCATGAAGAAGGCTCTCACCAGGAACCAATTTGGCTGGCACCTCGCTCTTGGATTTCCCACTTTCCAAATTCATGAGAAATAAATTTCTGCATCTTAAGCCTCCCAGTTTAAGTTATTTCCTTGTTTGTTTGTTTTTCAGATTCAGTCACCCTCTATCACCCAGGCTGGAATGTAGTGGCATGATTCTCCTACCTCAAGTGATTCTCCCACCTCAGCGCAGAGTCACTCTGTCACATGGGCTGGAGTGCAGTGCCATGATCTTGGCTCAGTGCAACTTACACCTCCTGGGTTCAAGTGATTCTCCTGCCTCAGCCTCCTAAGTAGCTGGGATTACAGGTGCACACCACCATGTACAACTAATTTTTTTTATTTTTAGTAGAGACGAGGTTTCAGCATGTTGACTAGGCTTGTCTCAAACTCTTGACCTCAAGTGATCGGCCTGTCTCAGCCTCCCAAATTGCTGGGATTACAGGTGTGAGCCACTGCGCCTGGCACATTTTTGGCATTTACTACATTCGAGGTTTCACCATGTTGGCCAGTCTGGTCTCAAACTCCTGACCTCAAGTGATCTACCCACCTTGGCCTCTGAAAGTGCTGGGATTAGAGGGGTGAACCACCATGGCCGGCGATTCTAAGCTATTTCTGACAGGACAGTGTTAATGACTGAGGCAGGAACAGGAGAATCTCATCATCAACATCACTGACGGCTGACAAATCTTATTAAACAAAGGAAGTTGAGAGTCTGTACTGTAAAAATTGCAATCCTTGAAGCCATCTAATGGCACTAATGTGTTAAAAACCTTGAGAAAGGCTGGGTGCAGTGGCTTATGCCAGTGATCCCAGCGTTTTGGGAGGCTGAGGCAGGAGGATCAGAATGTCAGGAGATCGAGACCATCCTGGCTAACAAGGTGAAACCCTGTCTTTACTAAAAAAAAAATACAAAAAATTAGCCTGGCGTGTTGACACCCACCTGTACTCCCAGCTACTTGGGAGGCTGAGGCAGGAGAATTGCTTGAACATGGGAGGCGGAGGTTGCAGTGAGCTGAGATCACACCACTGCACTTTAGCCTGGGCATCAAAGCAAGACTCCATCTCAAAGAAAAAAAAAGAGGAAATGAAAGAAGGCTACAGAGTAACTCTAACACACAAACATAAAGTTCTCCAGTAAAGGTAAATAAAAAAAACAGATAGGCCGGGCATGGTGGTTCATGCCTGTAATCCCAGCACTTTGGGAGGCCAAGGCAGGCAGATCACCTGAGGTCGGAAGTTCGAGACCAACCTGACCAACAAGGAGAACCCCTGTCTCTACTAAAAATACAAAATTAGCCGGGCGTGGTGGCCCATGCCTGTAATCCCAGCTACTTGGGAGTCTGAGGCAGAAGGATCACTTCAACCCAAAAAGCAGAGGTTGCGGTGAGCTGAGGTTGTAGCCTTGCACTTCAGTCTGAGCGACAAAAGCAAAACTGTCTCATAAATACACATATTAATTAATTAATAAAAGGACAAATACAGAAACTGGCACACGTGTACCTTTTCTTCATAACTAAACTTTTTTTCATATTATTTAAAATAAAAAGGCATGAAAAAACACCGTACATATATGTCAACCGAAATGCAACATACACAGAAATAATGTTGACATAAATTAAAAAAAGTTCTAGTGGAGAGGGAGTAGTTTTTGCAGGTTATCAGATTCTTCTGTTTTTGTTTGTTTGTTTGTTTTTGAGATGGAGTCTTGCCCTAGATCCCAGGCTAGAGTGCAATGGTGCAATCTCGGCTCACTGCAACCTCCACCTCACGGATTCAGGCAATTCTCCTGTGTCAGCCTTTCGAGTAGCTGGGATTACAGGCACCTGGCACCATGCCTGGCTAAATTTTCTATTTTTAGTAGAAACGGAGTTCACCACATTTGCCAGGTTGGTCTCAAACTCCTGACTTCAGGTGACCTGCCTGCCTCCGCTGGGATTACAGTCACGCACTGCCGTGCCTCACTAGTTTTTGTAATTTTAGTAGAGACAAAGTTTCGACATGTTAGCCAGGCTGGTTTTTAACTTCTGACCTCAGGTGATCCACTCACCTTGGTCTCCCAAAGTGCTGGGATTACAGGCGTGAGCCACTGCACCTGGCCAGGTTACGCAAGTTTTAAGTTTCATCATTATGCTATAATTTAAGATATTTAACATACCTGCAACAACAACCTCTGCCCAACACACTTCACTTCTGTATACTGAAAGGAATGGACACTAACGTGGTTGTTATATTCACCCTGGAATCATGCTTCAACCACTTACATGTTTACTAAGAACTAAAAGACAAAACTATCTAAAATAATAACAATGGTTGGGCCATGGTGGCTCATGTCTGTAATCCCAGTGCTTTGGGAAGCCGAAGAAGGTGGATCATTTGAGATCAGGAGTTGGAGACCACCCTGGCCAACATGGTGAAACCCAGTCTCTACTAAAAACACAAAAATTAGCTGGGCATTGTGGTGAGTGCCTGCAGTACCAGCTACATGGAAAGCTGGGGCACAAGAATCCTTTGAGCCCGGGAGGCAGAGTCTACGGTTAGCCAAGATTGCGCCAATACACTGTAGCCTGGGCGACAGTGTGAGACAAAGAAAAGACAGAAAAGGAAAAGAAAGAAAGAGAAGAAAGAGAAGAAAAAAGAACAGAGAAATAAGCGGGGGAAAAAAGATGTCTATTCAGAGATCTCAGGATTGAACCTTTCCTTTTCCCACAGAATTCTCCCACTTGCAGAGAGTTTCCCCACACACTATTGGAAGGTGGAGCTTCCACTCTGCCCATTTGGGCTCTTACCTGCCTTTACACCTGTAATACATTCCCTCCCAGCTGGATTTATTTATTTATTTATTTATTTATTTATTTTGAGACGGAGTTGCCCAGGCTGGAGTGCAATGGTGCGATCTTGGTTCACCACAACCTGCGCCTCCTGGATTTCAGCGATTCTCCTGCCTCAGCCTCCTGAGTCTCTGGGATTACAGGCGTGCACCACCACGCCCAGCTAAGTTTGTATTCTTAGTAGAGACAGAGTTTCTCCATGTTGGTCAGGCTGTTCTCGAACTCCCAACATCCAGTGGTCCACCCACCTAGGACTGAAAAACTGCTGGGATTATAGGCATGAGCCACTGTGCCCGGCCCTGAATTTTTTTTGCTATTTTCACTTCACACACCACAGTCCAGGGCTCTTTCCCTTGCTCCAACGTAGAGATAACAGGTGAGAAAGAGGCTTCTGCTTATAAAAAGAAAAAACCATAACATGCTGGAGCTTTTCTAGAGTCCCAGCCCTACGTTTCAGTAGGAAAGAAGACACTGCAGATGATCTAGGAAAATATTTCACTGATTGCTCCGCTGACTGCCTCCTTCTGAATGCTTGGGGAACATCGTAATATGTAATACGTGGACATCGAGCTCTCTTCCAACAACTACTGAATTGAAAGCACAGGAGAAGCAAACAGGGAACTGGAGATGTTTAAAGTCTGCCAGAAGGTTTTGTTTTTGTTTTGTTTCTTCAGACAGTCTGTCGCCCGGGCTGGAGTGAGTGGAGTGTTTTCAGCTCACTGGAAGCTTCGCCTCCTGGATTCGATTCTCTTTCCTCAGCCTTTCTAGGAGCTGGGATTAGAGGCAGGCACGTGCCACCATGCCGGGCTAACTTTTCTATTTTTAATAGAAATAGGGTTTCTACATGTTGGCCGGGCTGGTCTCGAACTCCTGACCTTAAGTGATCCACACACCTAGGCCTTCCAAGGTGCTGGGATGACAGGTGTGAGTCACCACGCCCAGCCTGCCATAAGGTTTTATGCCTACTTTAGTTCTGGAACCCACACTGAGGTACCACGAAAAATGCAGAACGTCTAAACAAAGGGGACAGTGAAAGTCCAGATGCTACATCATGAAGTTTTTCATTTCAAACTCAATATAGTGTCCATTTTAGTCAAGCAAGGATGGGGCTCCCAAAAGAAACAAGAGAAAATACAAAGATATGCAAGGGCACATGCCCAGCAGGGAAGTTATCCTCACCCAGGGAGACCAGGTTCCTATAATTCTCTAGCATCACGTCTCTGTATAGAGTCCTCTGAGCAGGGTCCAGGCATTTCCACTCCTCCTGGGAGAATTCTATGGCCACGTCCCTGAATGTCAATAGACCCTGAAATGAAAACACATTTTAACTAAATGGTTATGGGAGGAGTTCTTATCTTTATAGAAAATGAGAAGAGGAGAGAGGGGAAAGCATGGATTTCATTGTAGTGAATGTTCTGACATCCGAGTAAGGGACTTTTCACCACATGATGTCTTCCCAGTTGTGTTTGAAAAAAACGACAAGGTGGCTCCAAGCCTTGTAATCACCCGAACTTATGGAGGACTGAAGACCAAGGGCGGAAATCACGAGTCAGGAGAACCAAGAGACCATCCTGGCGAAACAACGGTGAAACCCGTCCTCATACTAAAAAATAAAAAATTAGGCCCGGCGTAGGTGGCCGTCAGCCTGTTTAGGTCCCAGCTACTTGGAGGGGCTGAGGCAGGAGAAAGGGCACGGGAACCGGGGAGGGCCGGAGCCCATGCAGTGAGCCGGATCGCGCACTGCACATGACCAGCAACTTGGCGACAAGAGCGAGACTCTGCTCAAAAAAAAAAAAAAAAGAAACTCCCTGCCTGTTCTGTTTTCTCTCCTCTGACCACCGGTGCATGAAACCCCTGTCATGTATCCCCTAGATTGCTCAATCACGAACACTTTCATGTGAAATCTTTAGTGTTGTGCCCTTAAAAAGGGACAGAAAATTGTGCACTCAGGGAGCTCGGATTTTAGAGCCAGTAGCTTGCCCGATGCTCCCCAGCGAATAAAGCGCCTTCCTTCTACCACTGGGATGTC